GAACCTATGTATATACAACCACCCCTGAAAGGCATGTTTGCATGTGGACATTGTTCCATATGCAGACATGTAGATAAGATTAGAGAATTCCAGGACTCTGCAGATATGAGAACATATTCTATTAATTCTTTCCTCAATTGTTCATTGTCATGGGTCATACAGTATATAGAATAGTATGCCCATGCAATAAGGCTTATATTGGCAAAACAAAAAGGGAATTTATACGCAGAATAGGAGAACATTTAGCCAGTATTACTAGTAAAGATGACGAGTCCCCAATAGCCCCCCACTTTGAACAATACCACAATTCATCTCTGAAAGGTATAAAATGTGCAGCCATCTTCCAGTTGTCATTATCAGAAAGGAGAGGCGATACGGATAAGATCCTCCTACAAAAGGAGGCAAGATGGATTTTCCTATTGAATACAATGAATCCCCATGGATTGAACAATGATTTGTCTTTACAACCATTTCTATGAAGACAGACTTTTATCTGGATATATAAGCGAGATGTTGGTGATCATGCGGAACTAAACAGTAGAAAAGATATGCACGATTGTTTAGAATATTCTGTGTTTGATATGATTAGGATTAGAGGACTTTTCCTCAGCATCTAATGGTTTCTGATCCTGACCAACCAGTAAGGGGAACCCACGTGGAGTTCGAATTATAATACATCCCAGGAGGTTGCTTTAAGAGGTGGAACATATTTGTAATAATGGAGATCTATAGGAGTGACAGCCAACCAATCCATAGCTACATCCTGAAGAAGCCCCGGTCAGTGAGAGAGGCGGAATATGTAGGTGCAAGGGATCACGTTCTCCTTCCACGTGCAATCCCCTGGTGAGATGCCGGAGTGGACGCTAGTTCTCTAGACCATTCTGTGAGGTTGTGAATGGATTCCAACATGGACATTGCTACATCCTGAAGGACATGGCACCATCCAGCTTTTGAGAGTACATACACAGACTTTACTGGTTCCACATGGTGAGATTGTGTCATACTTTCACTGAATGAGTGCAGGACTTTATACAACGGTATACAGGCATAGTCAATTAGCTACCTGACCAGTAGGCTGGACCTGTATTGTGCCCACCAGATTACCAGAAGATAGACTCCAGTGATGGCTATGAGGATTTTGAGTATAGTGGCATAGTTAGGAACTGAGTTATATTTCCTTGGAGGAACCCAGCTTGCCCCTTTCCAGCTGCTCTCCTCTCCTGTAGTGGAACTACACCTTGTGGATACTCCATTTATACTAATTGGGATTTTTCCTGTCAGCTGGAAATCATGTCCTGATACATTACTGTCATTAGCACAACCACAGAGGGTCTTATCGGGGAGTGCTTCCATCAACACAGGATAGGGGGACTTTAGGGATTCCGAGAGGAATGGAGGGTTAGCCCTTGATGCCCTGGCTTTTGGGGCCCGTAGGGTTGTTGGGGTTGCCCTGGAGGAAAGGGGGGGGGCAAGACTGTGTGGCACGTGGTTGGGGGGGATTGGTTGGTGGTACGGGGTTGGAGCTTAGGAGGGGGTAGATGGGGTACATGCATTGGTTGGTTATATGATATGCCTTGTTTTATTGTTACGTCCTTAACAAATTTATGCTGCTTATTAGCCTCTTTGAGGTGCTATATCCTTTTGTGGGGTTTTCTTTAGAGTATACTGGTTTTAAATGCACCTCCCCTTTAATTTAGGGTCTAGGCATTGGCAGATATACCACTCCCGGGATGGGCAAATGGCTGGGGGGGGGTTTTTCACTTTGTTCTGAATTGTTCCAGTCTCCATCTGGTGGTCACCGCAGCACCCACCTACCTTCCAGCCATTTTTAGGCTGCAGAGAAATCACTGCTTCCACAAAGAAAATTTAGGCTAGCCATAGATGAATTGTTTCTTTTCCTTCAGCCAGCAGGTGAAAAAAAAAAAAAAACCCAAACGGGTTCCTCCATCCACACATTGAGATAGATAGGGGAATCCTCACCACTGAGACAATGGGGGTTATTTACTAAAACTGCATGGTGCAAAATCTGGTGCAGGTCTGCACAGAAGCCAATCGGCTTCTAGATTTTTTGTCAAAGCTTAATTGAACGACCTGAAGTTAGAAGCTGATTGGTTACCAAGCATATCTGTACCAGATTCTGAGTGCACTAATTTTAGTAAATCTAGCCCATTGTGTTCTGAAAGTGAGGACTCTTTGCTGTCAGAATACAGCAATCAATGACTGCAGCCATTGGTCAAGAAACATTTACCAACAAGCTCGTTCAACAGAAGTTGATCATTAGATTTACTTCTGTCAAGCAGATATGGCCACATGTGGATCGAAATTTGGCTGAAGTGGCTAAATTTCAATTCATCTATGGCCAGCGTAAAGGTCCCACTCTGCATGGCAGGGGACAGTCCTTCCTACTCAGGCTGTGGCTGTTTACTAATGAAACATCTTATGACTGTATTGAGCTCCAGTTCAATTGGGCTTGTACTTTCATTATACATTTTATGGGCAGCATCACCAGCTGGTTATCCTTATTTCTGGAGAGGCTCCTTAGCCTCTTTATTTGGTCTCCAGCAGTGAAGGATAATACCTGGTATTTCCAGTTATGGTAATTGTGTGACTTAAACAGGCCATAAATGGATTGAAATTTGGCTGGTTCAGCAGGGACCGACCGAGATTCGATCTATATATGGGCTGGCTTATTGTACCCAAGTAAATCCATCGATCAACTTGGGTACAACCAACCTGTCGGATTTTTCTACATACGATTACTGCCAGTGGCTATAGCCGCTAGCAGTAATCTTTGTGTCCTGCCTGCTGGGAAGGCTCCAAACAGCGCTGCGGGAGGCATTCCCCCAACATTGACTGTGTTGATGGGGAATCAAGTGTTTTTCCTTTCTTCTACCTGGGATGGAAGGAAAGAAATTGAATCATCTAAGGGCTGCCTTACACCCTTTCTCCCACAGGGCATCACTGATGTTTGGTCCCTTTGGCAACCAGCACTGGCACAAGGGCAGAGAGATAGTTTTCTGCCCAGGGTAACCTTCAGGCTATGACCTGGAGCTGATACAGGGCTTCCTCTCTTCACTATTGATGGTCAAAAGGAACAATAGGGAGCTAAAGCAAGGTTAGTACAAGTGGCTGATAAAGAGAACCTGTTGTTTTGCCCTACATGGACAAAGCACATGTTCACTTTAAGCTACTGTATGTATGCACAGGTTTACAAGGTGGTCAAGTATTAGGTGTCTTCATCACTGGAAAAAAGCCTCACAATGACTATGACAGATACGTATACATTAAACTTTTTTTTTTTTGCTGCTTCACTCAGGCTTAATTATCCCCCCACTGACTTACACTGACTCCTTTGCAGGCTGTATTGCTGGAAGAATGTTCAGTGTGGAGGCCAAGCACAGAGTAGGAGCTGGGTGCCTTCATCTTCTCCAATGTCCATGAAGACCTACCCATAGGAATAAAAAGTTTGAACAGGAACAAATTAACTCAAGACACATCCAGCCAACATACACTTCAAGATCTCATAATTTGGAGAAAGCCATGGGAACAATTACAACAAGGCAGGTACTGTATCTACCAATTCATAATGGGGGGGGGGGATAATACGGGCAGCACAGTGGCTAAATGTTTAGCACTTCCGCCTGGCAGTACTAGGGTCGTTGGTTCGAATCCCAGCCATGGCACCACCTGCCTGTTTGCATGTTCTCCCTGTGCTTGCATGGGTTTCCTCCGGGTACTCCGGTTTTTCTTCCACACTCCAAAGACATGCTGGTAGGTGAATTGGCTCCTGTCTAAATTAGTCCTAGCATGTGTATGTATGAATGTAAGTTAGGGACCTTAGATTGTACACCCCTTGAGGATTAGGGACGGATTTGAATGTACAATATATATGTAAAGTGCTGTGTAAATTGACGGCGCTATATAAGTACCCTGAAATAAATAAAATAAATAATAATAACGGACCCAAGAGTACTCTTCAATAATGCTAATAGCCTGGCTTCCATGCTGGTCCAGCAACTTCATGGTTGTTTGCATTGTTGGCCCAGAATAAATATACAAATGAAGCTCATGTGAAGTCTGAGCTTCGATCTGCAGACCTCTTCCAGAATGCTGAGTCAGAAACCATTTATGAGCATGACAGGAAAATGTCTACAGAAACAAATGTACACAACAGCCATACATGAGCTTCCTCATATATCACTGGGGATTCCTCCTTCATTGCGCTCCTTATCTATTACTCCTCTGTGCTGGGCTCACTGCACTCCCCTCTCCATCACCCCCCCCCACCCCCCCCCCCCCCCCCCCCCTAGGCTAGGCTCACTGCACTCCTTCTACATCCCCCCCCACTGGGCTTACTTCACTCCTTCTACATCACCCCCCCCCCCCCCTGGGCTCACTGCACTCCCTCTCCATCACCCCCTGTGCTGGGCTCACTGCACTCCTTCTACATGCACTCCTTCTAACATCCCCCCCCCCCCCCCCCACTGGGCTTACTTCACTCCTTCTACATCACTCCCCGCCCCGCTGGGCTCACTGCACTCCTACATCACCCCCCGTGCTGAGCTCACTGCATTCCTTCCCCAGTGCTGGTCTCACTGCACTCTCTCTCCATCACCCCCTCCTGTGCTGGGCTCGCTGCACTCCCTATCATTTCCCCGAGCAGTGCTCTCTCTCCCCCACTCCCTGCAGTGTGATCACTGCACTCCCTCCTTATCATTCCCCTGTTCTGGGCTCACTGCACTCGCGGTTTACCATTCCCCTGTGCTCCCCCCGCCCCCTCCTCAGCGCTGTCATTGCTCCCCCTTCCTCACTCCGAGGGTGCGGTACCGTCTCCGCCGTGCTAGGGGGCAGCACCTCCCTTGTCTCTGCGCCCCATCCCCGGCTGGTCTCCGTGGTTTCCCCGGAAGTAGGCAGTAGTCCGGGCGGGAGTGCGATGTCCGGCTGTCAGGCCCGGGTGTGAGTGAGATTGCCGGGGGGTGGCCGGGCTCCTGTCGTCCCCAATGCCCGAGCAGGGTCCGAGGATGAACGGCTTCTCTCTGGGGGAGCTGTGTTGGCTCTTCTGCTGCCCGCCGTGCCCGAGCCGCATCGCCGCCAAGCTGGCCTTCCTCCCCCCGGAGCCCACCTACACGGTGCGGGAGGCGGAGGGGTCGGGGGGAGGTCAGGCTGCCTCGGCAGAGGGTGAGGTGGGGGCAGAGCCGGCGGCGGCGGTGGTGGCCTGTGTGCCTTCCCCCCCGCCGTGTAGCCTCCACCTGACGGAGCGGGCGGACTGGCAGTACTCGCAGCGGGAGCTGGACGCCGTGGAGGTGTTCCGCTGGAGGACGGAGCGGGGGAGCTGCCTGGGCTGTATGTTCGTCCGCTGTGCCCCGGGCAGCCGCTACACCCTGCTCTTCTCCCACGGGAACGCGGTGGATCTGGGACAGATGTGCTCCTTCTACATCGGCCTGGGCTCCCGCATCAACTGCAACGTCTTCTCCTACGACTACTCCGGCTACGGGGTCAGCTCCGGCCGCCCAGCGAGAAGAACCTCTACGCCGACATCGAGGCCGCCTGGCACGCCCTCCGCACCCGGTGTGTATGACATGGACCGGATCCGGGGATATACGGGGGGGGGGGGATGGGGACCGGACCCGGTGTGTATGACATGGGGACCGGACACGGGGATATACAGGGGGGGGGGGAATAGGGACCGGACCCAGTGTGTATGACATGGGGGACCGGACACGGGGATATACGGGGGGATAGGAACCGGACCTGGGGATATACTGGGGGGGAATAGGGACCGGACCCGGGGTGTATAACATGGGGGACCGGACCCGGGGATATACTGGGGGAGGGAGGATAGGGACCGGACCCGGGGATATACTGAGGGAGGGGGGGGGATAGGGACCGGACCCGGTGTGTATGACATGGGGGCCCGGACCCGGGGATATACTGGGGAAGGGGGGATAGGGACCGGACCCAGGGATATACTGAGGGGGGGGATAGGGACCGGACCCAGGGATATACTGAGGGGGGGGATAGGGAACGAACCCAGGGATATACTGACGGGGGGGGATAGGGACCGGACCCAGGGATATACTGGGAGGGGGGGGATAGGGACCGGACCCAGGGTGTATGACATTGGGGGGGGGGGAAATAGGGACCGGACCCGGTGTGTATGACATGGGGGACCGGGGATATACTGGGGGGGAGAATAGGGACTGGACCAGGGGATATACTGGGGGGGAGAATAGGGACTGGACCAGGGGATATACTGGGGGGGAGAATAGGGACTGGACCAGGGGATATACTGGGGGGGAGGATAGAGAACGGACCTGGGGATATACTGGGGGGGAGAATAGGGACTGGACCAGGGGATATACTGGGGGGGAGAATAGGGACTGGACCAGGGGATATACTGGGGGGGGAGAATAGGGACTGGACCAGGGGATATACTGGGGGGGAGAATAGGGACTGGACCAGGGGATATACTGGGGGGGAGGATAGAGAACGGACCTGGGGATATACTGGGGGGAGGATAGGGAATGGACCCGGGGATATAGATTGGACCCGGGGATAAACTGAATGATGGATGGGGGGGGTAATAGGGACCAGACCCGGGGATAAACTGAATGATGGATGGTGGGGTAATAGGGACCGGACCCGGGGATATACTGAACGCTGAATGGGGGGGGGGGGTAATAGGACCGGACTCAGGGGGTATACTGGATAGGGGGGGTAATAGGGACCAGACCCAGGGGATATACTGGATGGGGGGGTAATAGGGACCGGATCCGGGGATATGCTGAATGGGGGGGTAATAGGGACCGGACCCGAGGATATACTGGATGGGGGGGGGGGTGGTAATTGGGACTGGACCCGAGGATATACTGGATGGGGGGGGGGTGGTAATTGGGACCGGACCCGAGGATATACTGGATGGGGGGGGGGTGGTAATTGGGACCGGGACCGAGGATATACTGGATGGGGGGGGGTGGTAATTGGGACCGGACCCGAGGATATACCGGATGGGGGGGGGTGGTAATTGGGACCGGACCCGGGGATATACTGGAGGGGGGGGGTAATAGGGACCGGACCCAGGGATATACTGGATGGGGGGGGGGGGTAATAGGGACCGGACCCAGGGATATACTGGATGGGGGGGGTAATAGGGACCGGACCCGGGGATATACTGGGTGGGGGGAATTCGGGACCGAACCCGGAGATATACTGGGGTTGAGATAGGGACCGGCCTTGGGGGTATACTGGGGGGGGGGGGAATAGGGACCGGCCCTGTGGGTATACTGGGGGGGGGGAATAGGGACGGCCCCGGGGGTATACTGGGGGGAGAGAATAGGGACCGGCCCCGGGGGTATACTGGGGGGGGGAGAGAGAATAGGGACCGGCCCCGGGGTATACTGGGAGGAGAAAATAGGGACCGGCCCCGGGAGTATACTGGGGGGGGAGAATAGGGACCGGCCCCGGGAGTATACTGGGGGGGGGGGAGAGAATAGGGACCGGCCCCGGGAGTATACTGGGGGGGGGGGGGAGTGAGAATAGGGACCGGCCCCGGGAGTATACTGGGGGGGGGGGAGAGAATAGGGACCGGCCCCGGGAGTATACTGGGGGGGGGGGAGAATAGGGACCGGCCCGGGAGTATACTGGGGGGGGGGGGGGGAGAGAATAGGGACCGGCCCCGGGAGTATACTGGGGGGGGGGGGGGGGGGAGAGAATAGGGACCGGCCCGGGAGTATACTGGGGGGGGGGAGAATAGGGACCGGCCTGGGAGTATACTGGGGGGGGGAGAGAATAGGGGAGCGGCCCTGGGAGTATACTGGGGGGGGGGAATAGGGAGCGGCCCCGGGGGGAGAATAGGGACCGGACCTGGGTATATACCGGGGGAATTAGGGACTGGACCTGGGGATATGCTGGGGGGGGGGGAGAATAAAAACAGGGACTGGACCTGGGGATATACCAGGGGGTAATAGGGACAGGACTCGGGGATGTACCGGGGGGGAGGGTAATAGGGACAGGACCCGGGGATTTTTCGGGGAGGGGGGTAATAGGGACAGGACTCGGGGATATACCGGGGAGGAGGGGGTAATAGGAACAGGACCCGGGGATATACCGGGGGAGGGGGGTAATAGGGACAGGTCCAGGGGAGTTACCGGGGGAGGGGGGGGTAATAGGGACAGGACCCGGGGAGGGGGGTAATAGGGACAGGACCGGGGATATACTGGGGGGGTAATAGGGACAGGACCTCAGGGATATACCGGGGAGGGGGGGGGGGTAATAGGGACAGGACCCGGGGGGGGGTAATAGGTCAGGGGGGATATACCGGGGGGGAGGGGGGGGGGGGGTAATAGGTACAGGACCGGGGATATACCGGGGGGGGGGGGGGTAATAGGGACAGGACCCGGGGATATACCGGGGGGAGGGGGGTAATAGGGACAGGACCTGGGGATATACTGGGGGGGGGGTAATAGGGACAGGACCTGGGGATATACCTGGGGGGGGGTAATAGGGACAGGACCCGGCAGATATACCTGGGGGGGGAGGGTAATAGGGACAGGACCCGGGGGGTATACCTGGGGGGGGGTTAATAGGGACAGGACCCCGGGGATATACCCAAGGGGGGGGGTAATAGGCACAGGACCCGGGGATATACCGAGGGGGGGGGGCTAATAGGGACAGGACCCGGGGATATACCTGGGGGGGGGTAATAGGGACAGGACGCGGGGGGATATACCTGGTGGGGGGGTAATAGGGACAGGACCCGGGGATATACCGCTGAGGGACGGGGTAATAGGGACAGGACCCGGGGATATACCGGGGCAGGGGGGTGGGTAATAGGGACCAGACCCTGGGTTGTATACTGTAGGGTATCAGACCTGGGTTATATACTGGGGGGAATGAGGACCAGACCCAGACTGTGGGGGCACCGGACCCGGGGTGTATACTGGAGGGGGGACTGGACTTGGGGGGGGTTTACTGACTTGTATACTGGGAGGGGTGTAGAATGGGATATACTGGGTGGGGGGGAATTGGGACCGAACCCGGAGATATACTGGGGGGGGGGGAGATAGGGACCGGCCCTGGGGGTATACTGAGGGGGGGAATAGGGACCGGCCCTGGGGGTATACTGGGGGGGGGGGGAATAGGGACCGGCCCTGGGGGTATACTGGGGGGGGGAATAGGGACCGGCCTGGGGGTATACTGGGGGGGGGGGGGGAATAGGGACGGCCATGGGGGTATACTGGGGGGGGGGAATAGGGACCGGCCCTGGGGGTATACTGGGGGGGGGGGGAATAGGGACCGGCCCTGGGGGTATACTGGGGGGGGGAATAGGGACCGGCCCCGGGGGTATACTGGGGGGGGGGAATAGGGACCGGCCTGGGGGTATACGGGGGTATAATGGGGACCGGGGGGGGGGGAATACTGGGGGGGGGGGGGGGGGGATAGGGACCGGCCCCGGGGGTATACTGGGGGGGGGGAATAGGGACCGGCCCCGGGGGTATACTGGGGGGGGGAGAATAGGGAACGGCCCTGGGGGTATACTGGGGGGGGGAGAATAGGGACCGGACCTGGGTATATACCGTGGGGGGGGAATTAGGGACTGGACCTGGGGATATGCTGGGGGGGAGAATAAAAACAGGGACTGGACCTGGGGATATACCGGGGGGTAATAGGGACAGGACTCGGGGATGTACCGAGGGGAGGGTAATAGGGACAGGACCCGGGGATTTTTCGGGGGGGAGGGGGGGGTAATAGGGACAGGACTCGGGGATATACCAGGGAGGAGGGGGGGTAATAGGGACAGGACCCGGGGAGGGGGGGTAAGGTAGGGACAGGACCCGGGGATATAACGGGGGGGGGTAGGGACCAGCCCTGGGGGGGGTGAGAATAGGGACCGGCCCTGGGGTGGTATACTGGGGGGGGGAATAGGGACCGGCCCTGGGGGTATACTGGGGGGGGGGGATAGGGACTGGACCTGGGGATATGCCGGGGGGGAGAATAAAAACAAGGACCGGACCCATGGTGTATACAGGGGGGGACTGGACCCAGAGTGTATACTGGGGGGGACTGGGACCTGACCGAGGGGGTATACTGGGAAGGGGGGGGGGGGGGATGGAATGGGGACTGGACCCAGAGTGTATATTGGGGGGGCAGACTTGGGACTGGACCCAGGGTGCATACTGGGAAATGGGGGGGGGGGGTGATGGGGACAGGATCCTGGGTGTATACTGGAGGGGACCGGATTTGGTCTGTATACAGGGGGGTGACCAGTGGTATACAGGGGTGACTTTACCCAGGGTATATACAGGGAGAGGGAATGGAGACTGGACCCGGGGTGTATACAGGGGGAGGGAATGGGGACTGGACCCGGGGTGTATACAGGGGGAGGGAATGGGGACTGGGCCCGGGGTGTATACAGGGGGAGGGAATGGGGACTGGATCTGGGGTGTATACAGGGGAGGGAAGGGGAGGGATCTGGGGTGAGGGGGAGGGAATGGGGACTGGGGGTGTATACAGGGGGAGGGAATGGGGACTGGGCCCGGGGTGTATACATGGGGGAGGGAATACAGGGGGAGGGAATGGGGACTGGATCTGGGGTGTATACAGGGGGAGGGAATGGGGACTGGGGGTATACAGGGGGAAGGGAATGGGGACTGGACCTGGGGGTGTATACAGGGGGAGGGAATGGGGACTGGATCTGGGGTGTATA